TAGCTACTGCATGCTGGGCCCGGAATTCCATGCCATGGGGATGTGAAAGTCCAGTGGAAATGGACAATCCTCCAGGACAACTGAGGGCCACCTGGGATCCTTTCCTCAGAAGGAATTCGTCAGGCCCAAAGCCTCTGAACCCCAGTGTAAGAACAGAGCAGAGGTGGAGCTGGAGAAAGACTTGATCTGGGTGGTGAAGAACCCTGATCACCGGCTAAGCACAGGGTACTGGGGAGCCACTGAAGGTTTCAGGCAGGGGACATGACATGACTGTAGGCCAGGAGGGAGCAAACCTGGAGAGGGAGCCCTATAGGGAGACTGCTGGGATATTCTAAGCCAGAGATACAAGTCTGGGGTAGAGAGGGTACGTGCTAGAGGTGACGCGGTGCTGGATGGCCTGTTTCCCTTCCTGCCAGGTGCAAAATGGTACCTTTGGGTGCAACTGCCCGGGCCAGAGAGGGAAGCTGTGGTTGAGGATGGCAGAGCTGCCCACCAGCCTTGGACTGCTCAGCTCCAGACTTACAGGGAAGAAAAATATTTAACCCGCTGAATTTGGGGGTCCTCTTGCTACAGCAGCTTAGCTTGTACCCTAAGTCACTGTGTGACTGTAGGCAAGGCACTTGACTTCTCTGAGCCTCTGTTTCCACATCTGTAAAATGGGGTAATACTAGAACCCATTAGGATTCAGAGTTAGTGTGTGTAGACTAGCACAGAGGAGGCAGACAGCGCCCCGTGTTCCCACCCAAGCCCTCCTGGTTGATCCCGTGGAGGAGACACTCCCAACTTCCCATTCAGCCTGAGGGCAAGTCCCTTACTTTCTCTTCTTCCTTCTGACTCCCCCACTGGCACCGAGTGCAGGGCAGTGCACACAATAAGGCCCTTGACTCAGTTTTATACAATAACAGGATGTGGATGACTTTCAGACAGAGGTGCTCCCTCTCCTGTATTTTACAGAGAAACTGAGGTCCAGAGAGGGGCAGAAATTTGCCTCTGCTGCACAATGACTCGGGCAGAGTGGTGGCTGGATTCAGTCCTGGCAGGCATTGGGATGGGGAGTGAGCTCTGATGTAGGTGCTGGGCAGGCACACTGTCCCAACCCCTCTCCCCCTTGCTCACGATGGCTGCAGCCACACTGGCCCCCTTTTAGTTGCTGTTCCACCTACTGAACCTACCCTTCCCTGGCTGCCTCTTTCTCACTGTATCAGTCCTCCATTTAGGTATTACCTCTTCAGAGAGGGCTTCCCCTGATCACCTGAAGTTGGACCCTCTGTAATCCGTCTCTACCTCCTGTTTGCTTTCTTTATTTGAAATATATTGTCAATTTAGTTTTGCAAACTAAAAAAAAAAATTCTGATTTGGGCCAGCCTCTCTCTCTAGCCTGCGTTCTGTGAGCATAAGACTGTCTTATTTGCTCTATTCCCATCACCCAGCCTGGCCTTGACCCAGGCAGATCCTCAACACATACTTGCTATGTGAACGAATGCATGCATGCATGCACGAATGACTGCATGAGTGAATGTTCCAGGTCTGGATGCCCACCATCACCTGGAATCCGCCTAATTTCCCTGTGAACCAGCCCCCAGGCTCCCCAGCGTGCAGACAGGGAAAGGGAGGCTCTGAGAGTCCTCATGGGGTAAGGCAGGAACGTGTCAGGTGCTAAAGGCCATTGGACTTCCCTGACCTCCGGACACACGAGAACCTCTGCTGCGCAACCCCACGTTCATCTAACACAAGAAAGTAACACACTTATGCTGGACACGGCCTGGACCAGACTCCATTCTCTGAAGTGCTGCCCCATTGGAAGATGAGGCTGCTGCTGTTGCCAAGGCAACGCTGTTAGCTTTCGGAAGCATCTTTAAATGGGAGAGGTGAAGGCTCCCACAGACGCTGAGGGGGAGGGAAATCTGGAAAATGGGGTCAAATCCCCCCCCAGCCAGCAAGACAGACCATTATGATGCTGGCTGGTCCCCTACTCCCTACAAAGGGCCACCTTTGACCTCGGCCATGGCTCTGGAGTGTGCACAGTGACTTTCTCCCTCATTGTGGAAACTGCTTCCGCTGGGGACACGCAGAGACCTTAGGAACAATGTGATCAGGTGCCAGTGGCAAAGGCAGACTGGTCTTGGAGACCTTTCCAGAAATTTCCTTCAGTCCTTAAAATAAGTAGAGGGGACCGTACTCCAGTATTTTTGTGGTTGGTGCCAAGATGCCCCAGAAAGGCCTGCACAAGGGAGGCAGCTCATAGATGCCAGTGCACTGGAGGTGGTGATTGGCTGTGCTGCCTTGGATGAAACCCTTTTCCTCTCTGAGCTCTAACTTCTTCATCACTACAATTGGGAGAATGCCGGTCTGGTGTAGGGAGCGGTGACTAGGATTCTGCTCAGCAACCTGCAGAGTCAGGTATCCCAGAAGCCAGATCCTATGCGTAGGGACCTCGAGGAGATCCAGCCAGGGCCAAGGCCACACCAGCCATGCCCCCACAGGGGCCTTGTGCTGCCTGGAGTCCTTCTGCTGGTCTTGTCTGCAGCCGCTGTGGCTCAGCATCGCTGTCAGGGGGCTTATAGAGGTCAGCAGCTGCTCTGTCCTGATTGCACGGATGGGAAACAGAGGCTCAGTCAGAGAGGACCAGGGATTCTGCTCCAGGGACACAGCCAGGACAGCAAACCAGGGTCTGACATCCCTGGACAGGCCACAGCTGTGTCCTTGATAGTTTGGGGCAACCCTGAGGTGAGCTGGAGCCTGGGGCCAGGCCTTGGGGGCACAGAGGCTGGGAGAGGGGGCAGAGATGGAGAGAAGGGAAATGGGAGTCAGAGAGATGGAAGGAGGAACAGTGATTGCCAGTCTGGAAATGGCGCCTAGAAACAGCTAGTCCATGTGACTTGGGTGGGACTGACCCCACCCCCATTCCAGGTGTGATCAGGTGGCCCAGGTCTGGTCAATCAGACACACAGTGATAAGTGCAGAGATGCGAACAGGAGGACCAGTCCCAGCTGGAGAAAATCACGCCTTTGCTGGAATCACTGGGACAGGGGACCTCTCTGTCTTAGGGATGCTCAGCTGGGAGGACATGAGCCCAGGGCTGCTGGAGCCACCTGTCAGGAGAAAACCTGATTGAGAGTAAAGTCAACATGGTGGATGCAGGGCTGAGAGGTGAAGAGGGACACCATTTGAGCCCCTGGATCTAACCGTGCCTGAATCCACTCCTAGACTTCCTGGCATGTGAGTCAATCCATTCCTTAGGATAGGGTTTCTATCCCTTGTGTTGGAGGAGTCCTGGCATCGAGGAGGAAGGAAGGTAGGAAGGAAGGATGACTATTTAAGAACAGGCATCTGAGGGTAACCCAGATCAGTTTCTTGGCCTTTTCTAGAAAATGACTACAGACCCGGATTTGGGCCTCACCCCACCCAGAGGAATCTGTCCCTGGGGCTCCCAGCTCTGGCTTCATCTCCTCTCCAGTGCCCACCTGGCTGATAAACTCTGCAGTACAAACATAAATACCACGGAGTCAAAAACAAATGCTCACCTTACCTGGGTCCAGAAGAAGGGGGGCATGCACTTAGGGGTGAATTTCCTCACCCCACTTTCCTCTTTGGGAACTCAACTTTATTAGGCACCTGCTCATGCTGAGCCCTGTTACAAAGCTGACATACACGGTTTCATCGCCTCCTGCCACAGCCCAGCCAGGAGGGAGCATCATTTCTATTTCACAGACAAGTCAACTGAGGCCTTGAGAGGCTGAGCCACTGGCCTCAAGTCCAGGAGCTGGAGCAGGTCTGTCCAATTCCAGAGCCCTGCCCGCAGCATGGCTGGGCACTCGGTAGATGCTAAATGAAGGCCTGCCCAGCGAATGCTGTGTGAGGCCACGTGAGCCTTCTGGGCAGCACCCTGCCCTTGGTTCTTTCCCCCTTCTGCCTGAAAGGCCCCCATTGGCAGCCCCATCCTTTGTTTTTTTCAAAGAGATCAGTGTTAATCTGTGCTGGCTTTGCTCAGGGGACCAGCTGAGGCGGGACTCAAGGACAGGTGGGAAAAGGTGGCCCATTTCCACCGTCCCAGCCTCATCCAGGAAAACCCTGAAGACAGAGGCGTACCCTAGTGGGAAAGCAGGTTGGTCTCGGCTGGTCTGGGTGTTGGCTGAAGACGGCAGGACGGTGCTGGCCTAATCAGGCCCGAGGAAGGTGACAGTGATCCGGGTGGGTGGCAGGGAGGCTGTGGCCCCTCTCTGACCCTGTCCTCTGAAGGAAGCTCGTGGGGAGCCCCTGGTGTCCCAGACCCAGGCCAAGGCCAGCTCTGCCCCACACTCCCACCTCCCTCAAACCCCCAACTGCAGCATCACTGTTGGATCAGGTGGGAGGAGAGGGCTAGGGTCCTGGGTTGGAGGCTGAAGGGATCTGGACTTGAAGATGGCATCCTGCCCAAGGCAGAGTGAACAGTCCCCAACAGTCCCTGAACTTGAGCCGAGGTGGCTTAGGGCTATAGGGAGTGCTGAGAGGGTAGCCTCCAGGCAGATATCTGGCTTCCTGGGGGCAAGAAGGAGCCTGGCAGGACCCCAGCCCACAGCACAGATCGGACACTTAGTTCTAGATCCTTCTTCAGGGGTGGCATGTGTCTTCTTTAACCCAAAGCTTCTTCCAGTTGCTTTTAGAGGCTGTTTGAGACCATCACTATGTCTCTTGTAGCTAAAAAGTGTGAGTGCAGATGGGGGTGGGGAGCTAGGGCTCCTCCTCTTCACACTTGACCAACTTTTTCCAAGGGCATCTGCAGCCCCGAGAGATGCTCTGGGATAAAGAAGGCCTGTTTTCCAATAAGGACACTTGGAGAAAGCTGCACACTCTAACCTCTTCACAGGCAGTCAAAAGGCATATGCCCACATTAAAGGCTCTGACAAGTCCTGCAGCTATGGATGCCTGTTCATATTGATTTAACCTGGTGTTTCCCTCCATAGGTACTTTTCGAGGGGAGCCTGAGTTATTCTCTCCGGAACACCTTCTAGGACACACTGGGGGTACAGAAATCCTTGTTAGATCTTCTGGAGCCCCCAAGAGACCAGGTCTGAGCTCCAGATGCTGGGGCCTAGGAGGGGTAGACTATTAGTCATGTATTTCTTTGAGGACCTACGTGAAGTCTGTTCTCAGCTCATTCAGGGTGTTGTGACCCTCAAGCTGTCAGGGGGGCCCGTGCAGGAGACAGAAGGGAAGAGGGCAGAGGGACACTGTAGAGGCAGGATCCCCCCATTACCCACCATTTCGCAACTTGAGGGGAACAGGGAGGCAGCGGACCCTCTGACTCCCGGGCAGGAAAGGAGGGTGGCCTCAGGGGACCCAGGGTATCCAGGACAAGGCCCTGGCACTGCGTCCTGTATTTGGGGTCCAGCTTGCCCCGGCTCTTCCCCCGGGTCCAGCCTCCAGGCGCGGCTGCCTCTCAGATGCCCACAGGGCGCAGCATCATGCGAGTGGCCCGCAGCGAGTAGCTGGGGCCCTGGAAGTAGTGCCAGCGGATGCCGTTGAGCTTGCGCACGTGGTGGCGAGCCGGGTAGTAGATGCCGTTGAGATTGGAGAGGCCGCAGGCGTCAAACCACCACCCTGGTGGAGGCAGAGCAAGATGCTTGGGGAGGGGCGGGGCCAGCCAGTGGGCTGAGGGCAGCCCCCCACCCCCGGGGACTAACCAGAGCTGCTGCCTCCTCCAGGAGGCCAGCTCGCAGGGGGAGATGGGGCCGAGTGGAATGGGCATGCGGGCGGCAGGGGAACCCCCAGACCCTCTGCTCAGCCTGCAGCCTCTGGAGGGTGGCACCTTGATGGCCCCCCCAGCTTGTTTTCCCCTAGCCCAGTCTCAGAGAAAGATCGGTGGTGCCTGTGTTAGGATGAGGGGAGACACTGAGAGAATCTTAAGGACTTAGTGGGGAAAGGGTTGGGTGGGGGGGGGAACAGCCAGGCCAGCATGCGGGTGGGTGAGACCCTGACCTGTACCCTCTTCCCGACAGCACCTGGCCAAACGCACGGGACCTGGGTGGGGAGGTAACAGGGGTGTCCAGCCAGGTGCGGGGCTTCAGCCCCCCACACCCACCTCCAGACAGCATCTGGGCACACTTGCAGAGGCAGTTGTCATTGTCTGCGTCACGGGTGCTGAAGTTGGTGCCTTGCAGGACCAGGCTGCTCTGGCGCCCTGCTGACCCGCTGTACCCATTCAGAGAAAGCCTGGAGGCCACCCGGAGGTGGTGATGGGAGATGGGTCCCGAGTTAGGTTGGGCTGGTTAAAGAACGCCCCCCCCCAAGAGGCTTTGTCCAAGGCTAGGGGTTCCCTCCAGTTGTTCTGGGAGGGGGAGCCCCAGTCTAGGCTGCTTGGGTTGTCCCTGGCCCTGGCTTGCCCTCCCTGCCTGCTGCCTCCCAGGGGCAGAGTACTCGCCGTGTGCCAGGCCTCCCTCATCTCACTGAACCCGCGTCTTGGACAGGACTGAGAAGGATCAAAATAATAATACTAATAATGAGGACGATGGCTAACATTTTTTTGAACACCTACTGTGTCCTGGGCATTCTGTGGCTTAGCTTCTGCTCCAGGCATCCTCACAACACCCTATTATTTCCATCCTACAGATGAAGAAACAGAGATCCCGAGAGCCAAGGGAGGCTGCCCCAGGCCTCAGAATGAAAGATGGAGAGAGCCAGGTCCCAGCCCAGGGTAGCCTGCCTTGGGAGGGTGTGCATTTTGCTCCCCAGCTGACCACCCTGCAACCCCAGCCCACCATCTCCAGGAAGCCTTTCCTGACCACACCAGCCCACATGGATCTGTGCCCCGGGGCACCCCCCAGCCCTGTGACTTGCACATCTGCAGCCAGTGGGGAGGGTTTCTATTTCTCTGCCAGGCTGTGAGACCCTGGTGGGCATGGCCAAGGCTGTGTGGCGATTACGACCATGGGCTCTGGGAATAGAATGCCTGGATTCGCATCCCAGCCCTGCCACTCGCCAGCGGCATGACCGTGGGCAGACTGCTTCACCTGCCAGCTGCAGTTTCTCCTTCTGTTAAAATGGGAGTGATAGTAATGTTACCCGTGATGACCTCGTTCGTTATTGTGATCCGAGGTCCTCGGGGTGTGAGGAGCGCAGAGCGGTGCAGGCACACGGTAAATGCTCAGCACGTTTAGCGCTTGTTAGCCATTGTCCCTGCGTTCCCGCCCTGGACACACGGCCGCCATAGGCTCTTGCTCAGCCTGACGGGAGAGGGTGTTGGGTGCTTGTAGCCCTGGCAACTGAGGTGGGGACCTGGTTTGGGAAAAATTAAGAAGGTCCTATGGGTGGAGAAAAATGGACACTAGATGCAGCCAGGGCTGCTCAGGGCAGCTCTGGTTCCCCCAGGGAGGGCCTGGGAGGTGCTGCTGGTAGGATCAAGAGGGAATGTGGGCCCTGGGCATGTGGCCTGGCTCAGTCCCTGCGCCTCCCACCATGGGCTCTGCATGTCTGTGCCCTAACTGTGAAGCCCTAACTGTGCCCTTAAATGTGCAGCCCGGGGCTTGCGTGACTGGTGTCGCAACGCCCCTCCAAAGGAGCCCATCTCTGTTAATGCTCTATGTGCGGTATCTCATTTGAGCTTCATAACACGTTGAATAAGGTAGGTACACCTAGGGCACCCATTTTACAGATGAGAAGGTGGAGGCACTTCTTCAGGGTTGCTCAGGGAGATAAGGATGGAGTCAGGACTTAAGCCTTGGCTTTGGTGGCTTAAATAGGAGTCAGCAGGGTGTTGTGGTGACTCACTGGTCAGCTTGAGGAGTAGAGAGGGCATCCAGCTTAGCCCTGCCTAGCCCAGACCCAGAGCATGGTTCATTCAGCTCTGAAGCTTGCAGTTTAAGGAGGACTATTATCAGATTGGGGTGGGTCGCATAAGGAGGATGTCAGGACAACTTAGCTGGACGATACAGGGGCATTTAATAAGAAGAGAGAGGGGTGGGGCACTCATTGAAAAGCTCCCCAAGATGGAATTAGACATAAAGTATAGGAGGACAGAGACCCACCAGTGATTCCTTTGGAGGAAGTGACCTTCCTGTCAGTGGAGGCATTCCAGCCTGGCTGGATGATGACTATGGCTGTGGAGGAGATTCTAGCATTATGGGAAGACCCAGATGACAGGTGAGGTCCTTTGCAGACCTGTGAGTATGAGTCTATGATTTCAGTTCTATCCTGTTCAAAGATAGCCAGGACCTAGTCTTCTCTCGGAGAACCTTGAGTTTCTCAGAAAGGCAACATCATGTAGTGGAAACACCCTGAGTTTTGGTAGCAGAGAGATCTGAGTTCAAGTCCAAGCTCTACCTAACTTGTAACTTTGGGCAGGGGACTTAAGCTCTGTGCCTGCGTCCACATCCCTAAAGCAGGTACAGCAGTGCTTACCTCAGAGTGTTGTAGGAGGATTAAATGGAGTAATATGCCGGGAACATAGTAGGTGCTCAATAAATGCTCTTTTCTTTTCCTAAACAGAGCCAAGAACCAAGCCAAGGGAGGTGTGGGAGACCTTGATGATTTTACATTATACTCCTATTTAAGCCCATCCTGCCATTAAAGAAGCAGAGGTACAAAGAAGCCAGAACCCTGACTTGCCCAAGTTCACAAAGCAAGCTGGAACAGAGCCAGAATTAGCTCAGGTCCCCTGATTCCCTGCTTAGGGACCTTTCCACCTCACCCCACAGCACGGGACAGCCCGGACTCCCCGCTCTGGGCCTCAGTAATATGGCTGACTCAGGGTGACTGACCTTAGAAGGCCCTTTCCTGCTCCTGGGCCGGCAGCGTCAGCGACACGCTCTCCACCCCACCCAGCGGCTAGGACGTGCTGAGTGTTAACCAGCCGCCTCCAGATCCCGTGACGTGTGCCCAAATGGGGGACAGATGGTAGCAACAGGAGACGCCCAGGGACTGACCCCTGGTACAGACTCTACAGCCACTAGCCCGGGACCCTGGCCCGCCCACCAGCCTGGGCCCCGAGCCCACCTGTACAGCTGCCCCTCACTGCCCAGCTGGAAATGCTCATACTGGGCGTAGGCCTCGTTGCCCTCCCAGTCTTGCAGCTCCACGCGCAGAGAGTAGGCTGCCCTGCTGGTGAGCTGGTGCACCACCTCATTGCCCAGCCAGTGCTCCCCTGCCAGGTCGCCGAAGCCCTGCGGAGAGTGAAGGGTAGGGGTGGGTTTTATGCTGCGATGGGAGGCTGCCCCCCCGGCTGAAGAGCTGGGCTGGGCCAGGCTCCAGGGCCACTTAATCCAAAACCACGTTGCCTAATGATCAAGTCCACAAAGTACAGAGTGGGTAGGCCTAGGGATGGGAGTTCTCCACCTCCTAGAGCAAAAAGACTAAGATTTTTGTAAATGTAAAATTCTGTTGAAAATAATTGAAATCACATTTCCATGGAGTTTAAGAACAAGCAAAATGAATCTGTGGTGACAGAAGTCAGAATAGCAACTCCCTTTGGGGGGAGTATTGACCGGCACACACGGAGGCACAGGGGGGCACGGGGGGGGGCACGGGGGGCTTCTGTGGTGCCGGCAGCGTTGTAGATATACCTAGCTTTGAATGGTGGTCATGTGGGTGAATACGTATGTAAAAATCCACTGAGTATCTTACGCCTGAGATCTGTGCACTTATCGGCATGCCTGTCGAACCTCAATAAAAAATTAAAGATTTTAATAAACTGCATGAACTGTAGAGCAAACCTTGGTCAGTGACATGGCAGCTGCTGCGAGATTTCAGCAACATAGAAATGCAAAGCTAAGCACGTTAGGTGTCACCAGTGTCCCAGGGTGAGGAGAAACCAGTGCCCTGGGCCAGAGCAACAATTCAGCACCAAGGACAGGGGCACACCTAAGGCCCACTCCCCACTTGGCCACGTGGAGCTGCTGATCAGCCTAATGATTAATATTCAGTGCCCTTGTGTATTTCTGCGTCTGAATATCCTATTTCTTTTTGCCGTTTCAATAATTGTTTAAAACCCAACTGGCTCAAGAACACTCCTATCTTAATTTGGTATTTATTTTTAAGTATTTATCAAATGAACAGTAAGTGGACACATCTAATGATATTGTTGCATTTCTGTGTATCCTTTTCTATTTCTTTTGCTTATGGAAACTTTAAGAGCTTTTAAGTCAGCTTGCCAAAAATCCTTTATTCAAAATTTAATTAAGAAATTGGAAGACAATCTGGCACCATGTCTCATCTTGTAAAATGCGTGGGGTCTTTGAGCCAGCAATTCCATGTTAAAGAATCTCTCCTGCAAATGTGCTTATATTATTGCATGCAAAGACAAGGACATTCATTTAAGCAATGCAGCCAGGGGTGGGCAGGGGAGATTACTTTCTTTCTGTTCCTTTTTTTTTTTTTGTATTCTTAAAAACATTGTTAAGCAATATGCATATATAATCTTTCCACAAATAAAAAAATAAGGTTAAACTTTTATTCTTAGGATATATGTCAGAACTTGCAAAAAAGAAGGTTCAATTTCTGATGATGGAGTCCCTGACAGTGAATGTGCCCTGGGAAAATCTGTTTGAAGGTGGTTGGTTTTAGGGGGGTTGATTTTTTTTTTTCCTGGGAAGGGTTGAAGGCGATCCACCTGCGCCAGGTTTCAGGGTGGAAAAGCCCCTTCCCAGGGCAACAGTGTTACCTGTTTGTAATCTCTCCAGTTCCGCTGGAAATTCACACTGCCATTCTCACGGCGCTGGATGAGAGTCCATCCGCCTCCATTGGCCTCCATGTCACAGAACACCTGGAAGGAGTTGGGTGGTGGTGGGGGAGGGAATTGGAAGCCCCCAGAAGCTGGCGGAAGCAGGTCAGGGCTGGCCCAATTTTGATTTGGCTTACATTCTCACAGAGCAACAAGTGAACCTGGAGGTAGAGGGCATCAGAAATACCCAGGTTCACATTTCCCAGCTGTTGTCATCATTTTTCTAAAGTCGTGGGAAGTGATACCCCCTCAGAGCCTTCCTTTCCTCACTCATAAAATGCAAGTGTTAAAACCTTAACCACTTTGTGCCTCAGTTTCTCATCTGCAAATTGGCTTGATGTGAGAACTGTGTAAGCTGAGTCATGTAAAGAACAGAGCCTGGGCGTACTGGGAACTCAGTAAGTGGAGGCTTTTCCCTTGCTGTTATTGTGAGGTTGTTGTAAGGATTAAATGCCAAGAGGTGTAACACGCTTGGTACACAGCGTAGACTCGGGAATTGTTATTACGTTTGGCAGACAAATGTTTTCTGAGCACCTGCTATATACCAAGCTCCGTTCAAGGCATGGGGGATGCCAATATGGATAAGACAGAAAGAGTCTTTCTCTCAAAGCGCTCACCATCCATCATAATCTCTTCTTTCAGCCTAATCTTTGTTCACATATTATTTTTCCAGCCAGTTCAGTACATGTTCAGTGTTCAGTGTGGACACACTTGGTCCCTGGTCCCATACTAGATGACAGAGACAAATCAGAGATAAAGCAACCCTCAGGGCCGGCTTGGTCTGGAGGAGGCTATGATAGGGCAGGCAGATTATTGATTATGAACATTTGGGTTGCTACAAGGAGAGCTCCTAAGAAGGAGTCACTGGGCAACCCTGGCAGGCTTCTCAGAGGAGGTAGCATGAGAACAGGGCCTTGGCATGTGCCTGACAAGCCAACAAGGGGAATGGCACCTCCAGTGGAGGAAGCAGCTCTGAGAAGGTAAAGGCCAGCTCAGGGAGAGAAGACAGGGACATTTGCTGTGAAAGTGGCAGAGGGTGCAGGAAGGGAAACTGAGGCCCAGAGAGGAGAAGGGACTTGCTCAAGGCAAGTGAGACTGAAGTAAAGCTAAGGTGTGAGCCCAGAACTCTGGCCTCCCAGGATGCTACCATAGCTGAATTGACTTAATTTCATGTAGAATATTTACTTAAAAAGTCGTGTTCTTTTAACACTTGCTTTTATTCAGATCATTATAAAAATAAATATAACAAAAAGGTGAAATTCTAGGTAGAAATCGAGGGCCCGAACTCTGTGTCAAAAGAGGAGTTGAGCAGGCGTGTGTATGAAGTGTTAAAGGTAGTCTGGAGACAAACTGATAGGTATATTCATAGGAGTTCAAAGGAAATCGAACAGGGAATCTGGAAGTGTGAAGACTGGCTAGTTGTTCTCCATATTCTTTCACTGCTGGGCCTGGCCCCCAAGCCCTCCCTCCTGATAGCCACCCTTTCCCTTGACCCCTCCTCCATCCATCCGATAACTGGACCTCAAAGCCTAGGGCAACCTTGGAAACACTCACTGAAGATGGTGGGTTCTCTATCAGCCCTGGTCCCTAATTTCCCACGTGGAGCAGAGACCCCACACCTGCATTCGACTGGACTATATGTAAATTAGAAAGAAACTTCTTTGGGTTAAGCCCCTGGGTATTCCGGGTTGATGGGCTGAATCAGCCAGCATTATCTTAAGCAACGCAGGACTATTTTCTGCCCTTCCAACTGAAAACAGCTCTGGAGAAGATGCAGGAGAAGGATGCATTTCCAGTTCTGGGGACTTCTGCTTTACCCCCACATTCTGACCTCTCACTGGAGGGGGGCTGCAGACAGTAGGGTCATCCCACCTTCTCTGGGGTATCTCAGATGTTGGACAAGGCCTGAAGCTGATGGGGGGTGGCCTGCCTTGGCTCAACACCCTTGGATAGCCTCCGCCCCCAGGCGGTCCCCTAACCTTCCTGGGTTCCGTCATATTGGCCACATGGATGGTGTAGATGCCACTGGCATTGGCCCCGAAGCGCTGGATCTCTGCACAGTCCTGGAACACGTGCTCAGCTGCTCTCACAGAGGCTGCAATGGGACAAGGCAAAAGCAATCGGACGTAAGCTAAGGAGAGAGGGAAGGGGCCAGGTGGGTACTACTTCCTGCAAGCTTCCGGGTTGGGAGGTGCTGGGGACAGGGAGAGGTATCAGACCTGTGCAGAGGACCGTGCAGTGAGAGGAAGTGGTGGAGGCCAGGGAGGGAAATGACCCGCCACCCACGAGAGCAGAGCTGAGGCCAGAGCTGCAGCTGTCTGATGACCTTGACTAGAGTAGGACAAGGCTGGCACAGGCAGGGTCACCAAGGAAGGAGCGATGAGGCTGAGTTTCAGCAGGGGGCCAGGTCAGCCCTGCAGGCCAGGATGAGGAGCCCGGGCTGTGCTGAGGAAGAGCGCTCTGGCCAGAGTGTGGAACAGGGACTGGAGGGGATGAGACTCAAAGCAGGGAGGCCACGGGCGAGGCTGCTAGAGTCCTCCAGGAGAGGCTGCTAGAGTCCTCCAGGAGAGGCTGCTAGAGTCCTCCAGGAGAGGCTGCTAGAGTCCTCCAGGAGAGAGGCTGCTAGAGTCCTCCAGGAGAGGCTGCTAGAGTCCTCCAGGAGAGGCTGCTAGAGTCCTCCAGGAGAGGCTGCTAGAGTCCTCCAGGAGAGGTAATTGGAGTCTGAACTCCAAGGAGGTCCTTCCCCCTTTCCTAGACCAGGAAACTACGGCCCAAGAGTAAGGTAACTGGCTCAAGGGCACACAGCTGGGGGCACAGGCAGAGCCTTCCTGCTCTCTAGGTCATACGAAGGAGTCCCTAGAGCCTTGGGCTGGAGGCACAACTCCACAGTGCCCTTCTCTGCTGACAGTGGGGCGGGGGGACAGAGCGTTTGGGGCAAAGGGTGCCTGAGGCGAGGTGCCCTTCCCAGACCAGCGAACAGACATTGGGTCACAGTTGGAGACTGGGCTAGCGGTGAGCCTGTGGGGAGAGGCCTTTGGCCTGGGCCTGCATCTGGGGCTGAGCTACAATACACCCACACATGGGACTCATTTAGGCGGCTTCCCTGCCAGGGCTACGCACAAGCCTGTGATGGGTTCGGGTCACTCCATATCTCACGGTTTGGAAGGTATCCACTTCTCCTGCCTGTGGCTTCCTTGGGGCCTCAAATCCCTCAAACCCAGCAGGGCCTGCCCGATTTAGACAGAGCCCTGGTGCCATCCTTTGGCACCATAGTGCCTGGAACCCATCACTATTGCTTGATTCCTTGTGCCTTAAAAGCTTCCCAGCCTCCTGCTATGGCGATCCAGCAGGGGTAGAAACCCCTTCTGAGGTCTTTCTCTCACCCAGCCATTCTCCACTGCCTGGTTCCAATTGAGTTTCCTAAAACATAGTCCCACTGGGTGCAAAACCCTCGTGTGGCTCCTGATTATCCTCAGGTTCATATTCTCTCTCCTCAGCACAGCCTTTTAGGCCTTCAGTGGCCTGGTAATTTCAAGAACACTGTTGGCACATAGTGGCACAGAGTAGGTACTCAACAATATGCATTTCCTCCTTCTTCCCTTAGAGACCCAGAGATGGGCAGATGGGTATTTTTGCAAGACTACGCTGTTCAGTGCTGCATCCCTAGCACCCGGCACTGGGCCTGGCACACAGTGGGTGCTCAACAAGGGTTTTGCTGACTGCGTGATTGAAGCCGAAACCAGCAATGCCTTGGCCACCCCAAGTGACCCCATCAGAAGGAGTCAGTGAGAGCTGGGATGGGGGGAACCCAGGCATTGTTCTCCCTCCTTAGAAGCTAGGGCCAGAGATGTCTCCTCACTCCTGTTTGGCCCTCCTGGGCTTAGGGACAAGGGCGACAGGGTGACAGAAGTCCTTGGGGGACAGTGAGTCCAACCTCTCCATTCTATAGATAGGGAAACTGAGGCCGGGGGAGGGGTGGGGGCAAGTCTGAGCAAGTGAGGATGGAGGGTGGATCCTGGAACCCAAACTTGGCAGTCTGGGCTGGCAAATAAACCTTCTTATTAGCTTCCCTTCCGTTAAACAGATGGGGAAACTGAGGCCAAGGGAGGGACAGGGATCTGCCCAAGGTCACTCATGGAGTCAGGGCGTAAGAGTCTGGATTGGTTCCTCCTGGGACTCTCCTCCTCACCATTATTGTTTGCTGTTATTTCTGTTTCACAGGGGCTGGGAGAGGGGGCGGTCCTCCCCCACCCCTCGCCCGCAGTGGCTCCCGCCCCCCCACCCTCCACCCCAGAGAGCCGTGAGACGCGAGCCGCGAGCCGCGAGGGGGTAAGCAGGGTCTCCCTCCCCTCTCCTGCCCTGCTCCCGCACCGCGCCGGGCGCACCGCTCGCTCACCGGGGCCCTGGGCCACGACGCGCACGAGGCGCTGCACCGACTCCAGCAGCCGGCGCTGCTCCCGCTGCACGAGACTGGAATTGCCGCTGGCGGCGCGCAGGCTGCGCTCTAGACCCGCGAGGGCGCCGCTCTGGCGGCCCAGCAGACGCCGCAGCCGCTCCTTCTCGCCGCGGAGAGAAGCCAGCTCCGCCTGCTGCTGCGTCTCCAGGGCCTGCACCCGTGTCTCCAGCGCGCTGCGGGGCGGGGGCGCACGCGCGTCAGCCCGCGGTCCCCACCACGCAGCCACACTCGCGCGCTTGCCCCTGGGGCCCCCGAGCGGGGCGGGGGGAGGAACACGCCGCGGACCAGATCCGCACCGAGGCCCAGAGAGGTCGAGCGTCCTGCCCTGGGTTACACAGGTGTGCCCACCGATGGCAGAGAGTGAGGAGGGGAGGAAAGAGAGACCCCGCCCTGGAAGAAGATGGATTGGGGTCCATAGAAGAAGGAGGTGCGGGTGGGAGGACATGTCAGCCACCAGGTCGTGGTTACCAAATTCCCAGTATGCCTGCCCTTTGACCTAGCAGTCGGCTCTCCGGAGATAACCTCCAGGGAGCCCGGTGCGAGAGTGCCCCTGGGGGGATTGGTTCTGCTAGAGAGAAAGGAAACAGTCTAAATGTCCAACAGCCGGAGCTGGCCGAGGCTGTTTTCTTTCCGTGTCCCTGGAAATGTTCTGGAGCCGCAAGAGGAAGGAGGCAGAGCGCATCTGCACGCAATTGGCAAGACGCCCAGGACGTGGAGTGAACTGTGCCCGCACATCGATGCCTCTAGTCCGGTCCCACGTGTGGGAAGACAGAACAAGGGAAAGAAGAAAGGTATTAATGGAAATGGAGAGGGAAGCCGGTGAACTGCTAGGAAAAGGCACGGAAAGACACGTGGAAGGACACGGCGGTGCCTGCGTGCGTAGAGAAAGTGAAAGAGAACTGGCTAAGTGCTGTTCCCCCTACGGAGCCGGTTCCGGAGGAGGAGGGCGATGGGGAGGGAGGAAGATGCAGGCGGCTGGAGGCAACCCACTTTCCCTTTCGTTTTATAGGCCCTTGTTGTCTGGTGATATAATAAACATGGAGCATATTTGTCATGAGTTTTTTTTTAAAAAAAGAGTTTTCGAAAAAGCGGAAAGTTCTAAAACTCAACCCTTCCACTTTTGGCATTTTATCCTGGTTTGCTCCCGTGTGTGTGCAATGGGGGATGGGGACATTATTAGGGGCTTCTCGTTGAACAGGAGTAAAAGACAGGAAACAACCTTAATACACATTAATTGGGGACTGGGGATATAAGTGTGGGCACAGCCAGAGGGTGGAACATGATGCAGTTAGAGAAAAGAATGGGCAAGTGTGTCATGCAATTGTAGAACAGTTTCTTGGAAAAAAGAGGTGCAGAAGAGCCGTAAGCTCCATTTGGGTTCAAGAAGGGCAACAAAAGGACTATGCACACATATTTGTTTACAGATTCATAGGAAAACCTCAAATGTCAGCTTATAGAATGTATGCTGTGGGACAGGGATTTTTATCTATGTGTTCACTTCTGTAACCCCAGTTTCTAGAACAGTGTCTGACCTGTGGTAAGAGCTCAAAAAACAATTGTTGGTTGAATGAATGGAAGAGGCCAAGACACTAGGAAGAGGGGTTACCTCTGCTGTGGGTGGGTGGGTGGCTGAGGGATAGAGTAGGAGGGAGACAGTCACCTATCTATGAGGTTATGCCAACCCATTCTCCAGACTAGAACAACGAGTCTAGCCAGGGTAGAAGGAATTTCCCCTGAGCCCCGAGTTCTGCTGCAGGAAGAGAAAAAACTGGGGCACACTCGGATTCTAGAATTTTAGCGATCTCCATGGGCCAAGCGCTTATTGATGACATCCTCCATCTTCACTGACTTCTAGGCACGTGGTACCAATTCAGAGAGTCCCAGTCCCTGCCTTCCCCCACCTCGGGGTGGGAGCATAAGAATTAGAAGGTGGACAAACTATCATTAACTACACGCAGATCAGAGGGAGCTGGATGGGCCTGATGGCCTTATCTTGACCCAGCATTTGAGCAACAATAACATCTCCCCTGTACACGGGCCCGTGGCCGCTTCGGTGGGTGGGTGTTGCCTCCTCCAGCATCCTGACCTTGACAGTTTTTCTCTACTCAGCTTGAAACCAAGATGAAATCAGCCTCAGATGTCCATTTCTCTACCTTATCTGTACCCCATGACTCTTTTATTCTTTGTAATTTGCAGGGTGTTCCCCTCAAGTGTATTTGCTTACAAATGTCGAGACTCTCTGCCGGTGAAGACGAGAAGCTGGCAGTGTGGTTGCTTCTGGGAAGGGGAATCAGTGGATAAGATCAGATTTACTTATTTACAAATAAGTAAATCAAATAAAAATTTACAGGGTGAATTGTACAACATATAAACTGTAGCTCAATAAAGCTGTGAAACATTTATAAAATAAAGAAACAAAGGGGGGCGCCTGGGTGGCTCAGTCGTTAAGCGTCTGCCTTCGGCTCAGGTCATGGTCCCAGGGTCCTGGGATCGAGCCCCGCATCGGGCTCCCTGCTCAGCGGGAAGCCTGCTTCTCCCTCTCCCACTCCCCCTGCTTGTGTTCCCTCTCTCGCTGTCCCTCTCTCTGTCAAAAAAAAAAAAAAAAAAAAAAAAAAAAAAAAAAAGAAAAGAAAGAAAGGAAGGAAGGAAGAAGGAAAGGAAAAAGAAAGAACCGAGAAAGAATCGGGGTGTCCTGAGCCCCCGGGGAAATGTCTGTCTCCTGTCTCCACCCAGGGGTGCCTGTCTGGCCCCCAGCCCCACCCCAGGGCCCACCTTCGCTCCCAGCTTGAGTCTGGGACCAAGCCCTGATTTCAGTCCTTACGCCAGCTCTGGCTGCACCTGAGCCCCCCAAATGGTCCCCCCGCAGCTCTGGCCCCAGGCCCCATCCCAGGTACCAGCCCCAAGTCTAGTTTCCGACCCTGGCCCCAGCCCCAGCCCAACCCGGGCTCTGCTGCCCGCCCCCCCAGGTCCCACCTGCCTTGGGTCCCTGGCTGGCCCTCGCCCCTAGCCCTGGCCCAGTGCCAGGGTGCCAGTGCCCACCTGTTGCGGCCCTGCAGCCTGTGGAGCTCATGGCCCTGCAGTAGTAGCTGTTTCTCCAGCTTGTTGGTGGACAGAGAGGTCTCCAGCAGCTGGATCTCCATTCGGGATGTCTGGTTCAGGACCTGTCCCAGCAAACAGGAAGGGGAAGGGGGCGACGCAGACCCCGCAGGAGCCCCACTCGGCAGCCGCCCACCTGTCCAGAGGCGCTGCCATTCCAGCCGTGTGCTCGCCTATTTCCCCCCTCCCAGCAGTTAGATCCCATAGTCGTCCATTCATGCCTTTACGCACCCACTCACAGGCCCTCGCTGAGTTTATGATCTGCTTCTTGACAGCAGTTCCATTTCTCCCGTTGCTCAGGCCCCAGGAGGAGTCCCCCTTGACCACCCCCTCCCGCCCCAATCCAATCTACCGGCAGGTCCTGTCAGATCCAGCTTCGAAATGGGCACCTGACCCCCCTCCCCTACTCCGTGGCCCCCGCGCTTGGCCTCTGTCATCTCTTGCCCTGTGTCCGGTGCCACCCTCCTCACAGGGCTCCCTGTCCCCACCCTTGTTCCCTACACTCCTCCCTCTGCTGAGCAGCCCAAGGCAGCCTTTTAAACTGTGGCCCATCCGCTCAGAATCTTCCTGTGGCTCCCACGGCACGCAATGGAAAAGGCGCAGTCCTCACCACGGCCTGCAGCGCCCTGTGATGCCCTCTGCCCACACTGTCTCTGGGATCCCTTGCTCACCCCTCGCCCGCTGCTCTCTCTCTGGCTACACCGACCTCCTGGATGTTCCTGGAGCTTGCCAGCGCGGTCCCACTGCTGGGCCTTTGCCCATGCTCTTCTCCTTGTTCCGGAAGCCCCTCCTGGTGAGCCTGGCTCGGACCCTACCTTCTCCGCAGTGCCCTCCCGGCCTCCCTGCCCAAACTTGCAAACCATCCCTTCACCGCTCCCAGCACACACTCCCTCCCTCCCGTCTGCGCCTTTTTCTCCTGAGACCCTCACCCTCTCACATGTGCAGGTTATTTATCCTGTTCGCTCTCCTGGCGGTCATTAGAAAGGAAGATGCACAAGCATGGGGGGTGCACGTCTGTTTCATTTACTGCTCTGAACTAGAACCAGGAACCTCCCGCGGTTTCAACAGACACGTGCCTATTTGTCGTTTAATCTTCTCGTCCATTCATTTACTCACCCTCCTGTTTATCCATCCATTCCCTCCCCCCCTCCCCTTCTGTTGCCCCTGTCTCAGAATTGCTGGCCCCGTGAGGTTGAAGGAATTCTTTATGATCCATCCTCCCCTAGAGCCCTCGGAACCTCCTGAGTGCTGCTCCCCCTTCTCATCCCAGTGCCCAGCACAGATCCAGAGTCACTGGAGTCACAGAGACAGGAGAACCAGGCCCCGGGCCCACCCCCAGGGGCATGGCCTGGTGGTCAGAGTGTTCTGTGACAGGGTCATCAGGGAAGGGCCCCAGGGTGCTACAGGCCCAGACTCTACCCAGGAACAGAGGTCAAGGCTGGCCACAGCCCTTCCCCTTTCCCTCCCTGCCAGTGCCACCTGCTTGGCCTCCATACCTGAGCCTCCACGTCAGTCAGCTTGCGGGTCTGGGCGGTGGTCTGGTTCAAGAGGCTGGTGCCTAGCTCCAGCATGGTGGCCGTCTGGTTCTGGACCATGTGCTGTTGGACCTGTGCCAGCTCTGATCTCAAGTTCATCTGGATGTACCTTTCTAGCTGTGGGGAGACCGTGGGCTCGGGTCACGGGTAGGGGCTGGAGGAAGGCTCCTGTCCCTTCCTGTGTCTTCATGAAGGACATAGAGCAACGAGCACAGGCCTCCCTGCCAGGCCAGGCCACCATTACCTCTCACCTGGACTATTCCAGTAGCTTCCTCCCTGGCTTCTCTGCCTCCGTCCTTGTCCCATGCACAATCCATCCTCCACTCAACAGCCAGAGGGATCTTGTTAAACCTAAGTCAAATCGAATTTGTCCTCTGCTAGAAAGAAACCCTCCCAGAATTCCTACCTTAGAGGAAAAACCAAAGTCTTTCCTCCATGACCTGGCCTTCCGTTCCCACTCTGATTTCTTCTCCCAGTCCTCTCCCACACTCTGCTCCAGAAGCACTGGCCTCTGTGACATCCCTCCAACACAGCAAGCATACACCTACCTCAGGGCCTTTGCACATGCTGTTCCCTCTGCCTAGAAACTCCCTCCTGCCCACCCCCATCTACATGGCTCACTCCCTCGTGTCATTTCAGGTCTCTTCCTACCACTTATCACTCCCTAACTTTGTATTACACATTTATCTGTCTATTGTCCGTTTTACCATTAGCATGTCAATTCCATGAAGACAGAGACTGAGTCTTACCCCTTTATCTCTGTATCTAGCACGATGCTTAGTGCCCAGTGGGTACTCAATACCTATGTGTTCAATGAATTGATGGAAAAGGGGGGAGCAGCGAGGGTCGGAGAAAAGCCCCCAGTGTCATGCCCATTACAAGAGTTTGCAGGTCTATCCACCCAGCTGGACTTTCTATTTTCCGTCCCCCTCCATCCGCCAAGTGGGCTGAACAGGACAGTCTCCAAGGGTTCTCTCAGCTCGGATGTTCTGGGATCCCACGAGCTAACATTCATATCTTTGACAGGGTTGCTCTTTCCCAAGAGCAGTTGAAGCTGGTCTGGCATGAGACCAAGATCAAGCTGCAAAGGTGAACAGTGTGTTCTCAGGGCTCAGTGCCTGCAGACAGAGAGCCGGTGCCCCTCCCCCGCTCCCTCTCCATTCTGCGCACATGCTGGCCTCCGGCCATTACCCCTACCCCCTGGCCCTGGCTCCTTCCGTTGCCCTCTTGCTCAGTCTTCCAGGAGGTCGGACAGACAGGGCAGCTCCCAGGGTCCCTGGGAAGACTGGCGCTCCCCAGGGAGAGGTGGTGACCTTGGCTGGGGGGCCGGGCTCTGGCTGTTTCCTCCTTGGTCTCGTCTCCCTTTTGCCATCTTTTTTTTTTTTTTTTTTTTAAGATTTATTTATTTTGGAGAGAGAGAGCACAAGCCGGTGGGGCAGAGGCAGAGGGAGAGAGAATCTCAAGCGGACACTGCACTGAGTGTGGAGCCTGACATGGGGCTCGAGGTGAGGGCTCCATCTCAGGACCCTGAGATCATGATCTGAGCCGAAAACCAACAGTCAGAGTTTAATGGATTGTGCCACCTGGGCACCCCTCCCCTCTTCTGTCTTGAGAGTCAGCTCCCATCCCTTCTTCCCACCCCTGCTTTTCAAGGAGCGCGTGCCCATGTAGTGCAACATCAGATCCCGGAGGGGGCCCACGTGGGTGGTGCCGGTATTGACTACAGCAGTGGTTCTCGAAGTGTGTACCCTGCAGCAGCATCACTGGGGAGCTTGTTAAAAATGCAGATTTCTAGGTCCCACCCCAGCCCTACTGAATCAGAAATTCTGGGGTGGCACTCAGCCATCCAGGTGAATCTGATGCTCGCTCAAGTGTGAGAACTCCCGGGGTGGCAGTCACAAAACGGACTGAGGACCAGGGAGACAGGCCCATTGGCGCTTCTCAAGTCTTTGTCATGGGGGTCTCTTCCTTCCTCCCCTGCACCATCAGCCCCCCGCACCGCTGTCCCCTGTAACGCACAAACATGCTCCAGCTGCTCCCATCTAAAAACAAATTCTTGAGCCCACAGTCCCTCCAGCTGTGTCTGCAACTTCCCTGATCCCTCAACAGCAAAACTTCTCCAACTTGCACTCCAATTTCTCACCTGCATCCCCACCCTCGACTCTAAAAACATTAACCATATTATTATGGTGTACTGCGTGCATACAAAAAAGCATAAGGAAGGATATAATGAAGTCTGTGTATTTATCACGTTCAAGAAAAAAAATATAACACATACTGGAGTGTTTGGGCGGCTCAGTGGGTTGAGCGTCTGGCCCGACTCTTGGTTTTGGCTCAGGTCATGATCTCAGGTTCGGGAGATCCGCCCCGGCCAAATCAGGCTCTGCACTCGCGGGGAGTCTACTTCTCCCTCGGCTCCTCCCCCTGTTCACTCTCAAATAAATAAACAAATCTTTAAAAAATGTATATATAAACCATACTGTTGAATCCTGTGCTCCCTGGCCTGCCTTCCCTGTCCTGGGGAGCCTGTTCTCTCCTTAATTTGCCTGGTCATTGTCTCCTGGACAAGGAGGCTCGGGGACCCTTCCATGTCCTCTTATGCTCCCCCTCAGCGGCCCTCAGTGCGGATGGCCACTCCCGAATTCTGGAAGCACTTCCCAGATGTTCCTTCTCCTGGTTGTTCTCCTACCTGTGGTCACCCCCTCTGCCTCCTGCTTTATCAGGGTCCTACATGTCAGGGAACTCCTGGCCCAGTTCTAGGCCTTTGTCTCTCTGTACGTTCTCTCCCTAGGTCAAGGGTCCTTAGTGGGGACCACAGGGTCTGCAAAGAGAATTCAGGGGGTCCATGAACTTGGGTGAGAAAAAACTCTTTTGTTTGCTAACCTATAAGTAAAGTTTGGCATTTCCTTCCATTATGAGTGTAGACCACAAACCATAGCACTATTAGCTGATCCTGCAACTTCATTACCAATAGAAATCACCGATATTTCCGTACCACGGTGCAAATGTTGTAGCATCTTTTTTTTTTAAAGATTTTTTTTATTTATTCATTCAAGACACAGAGATAACAGAGAGAGAGAGAGAGCATGAGCAGGGGGAGAAGCAGAGGGAGGGGGAGGAGAAGCAGACTCCCCACTGAGCAGGGAGCCTGATGCGGGGCTCGATCCCAGGACCCTGGGATCATGACCTGAGCCGAAGGCAGACGCCCAAACATCTGAGCCACCCAGGCGCCCCATGTAGCATCTTTTTAAAAAAAGATTTTATTTATTTATTTGAGAGAGAGAGAGAGAGAGACCTCATGAGCGGTGGGGGGGGGGTGACAGAGGGAGAAGGAGAAGAGAGACTCCCCGCTGAGCAGGGAACCCGACGGGAGGCTCCATCCCAGGACTCTGAGATCATGACCAGAGCCAAAGTCAGGCGCTGAACCAACTGAGTCACCCAGGCACCCCGTTACAGCATCTTAAATACTGGTTTTACTCATCATGACCTCAGAATGATGGACATTCTCAAACCCACCACTGGATAACGCTCCCACTAGAGCACAGATGTGACATTTACTATTTTGATTACAATGGGAGCATCGCTGGGTGTCCTTAGGCTTTTATTTTACACATTTAGAAGTGTTGCTCTGAAAACGAATTTATTAGCTTCACCCAGGACCAGATGACAAAATGTTCAGGGCCCCAAATGCATCAGGGGCCCTGCTGCAAGTGCTCCTGTTGGTCCTACGACTGTCACGTGCTGATAACACCGGGTCCGCCTCCCACCACACCCCTCCCCTCAACGTGCCACCCACTCGCCATCCCCACGTGGGTTTCCAACAAGCATCTCAGGCAAAAATATCCAATGTGGAACCCTTGGTTCCTCAGCACCCACTGCCCTGTCTCTGCATCCCCACCCCACTCCCCCTCACTCCCCCCATCTTTCCCATCTCAGCAGATGACCCCACACCCAGACCTCATCCTTGATGCTTCTCTTTTCCTCACCTGCTGCACTCAGTCCTCTAGGGAGTTCTGGCCACTACGATCCCAATGCAAGTTTCCAATCTGCTCCTTTCCCTGCAACCTGGGCCAGGCTCCTGTCATCCCCATGGGTTGGCTCCAGGTTCACTCCCCACCACGCCTCTGTCGGCTCCCTGGGGTTGCTAATGTGAGGCTGCCGGGGTGCCCCAGGGGGGATGGGGGAAGCGGAGCTATACGGAGGCTGCTCTCACCCTCTCCCACGAGTCACAGATCTCCCGGAACCTGGTTTAAAATGCAGACTCCCAGGCCCCAAGCTTCACCTCCAGGCAGACAAATAGCAAGTTCAGTCCCGAGATGAGATTTTCTCACGCAACTCCCCCAAGCCTCTCATTGGCAGATGAACAAACTGAGGCCTAGAGGACTTGCGCGAGGTCACCACCTGGGGGGCTAGGTTCCATGACTCCTTGCCCAGGGACTTCTTCAGGTTTGCAGAGCTGGGCTGGGGACTCAGGGTAGCTCAGGGGTCATCTTAAGTGACAGGAGTTCCCTAAGTACCCGCATTGGTCCCCCACTTGTCCTGTGGCTGCAAGTGGCTGGGTGGCGCCCAGGCCACCCACAGCTGGGGCCCATTCCGCAATTTGCCACACCCGCCCACCAGCATGGGTCCTGGGATGGGTAATTTGGGCCAGATGGGCCCATCTTGGCCATGCTGGGCTCTGGTGAGTAATGTTGGCCTGTGTGGTGGGGTCTGGGTCTGGTCCAGGGTTCAGGCACAGGCTGGAAGGATGGGGGCAGGGTCCTAATGAAGGAGAGATGAGCCCAGGGTGAGATCTGCCACAGCACCCCTCCCCCACCACCATAGGATTGGACCTGTTCCTTCCCTGTCACCCTCATGCTGGCAGATTCTCAGGGTTGAGATGGAGGACAGGGGTCTGACCTGCCATCACCTCTCCAGCCTGCAAAGAAGCTGATCTTTGGCCTTGAGGCTACCAACCCTCTTCCCTTAGCCCTGGGTTTGAGTTTGTCATAGAGCCCTGGCTCTATGACACTCCAACCGTGGGCCTCTAGTAGTTGAGGGCTACATTTCTCTGAGCCTCACTTTATTGATCTGTATGACATGGGGACAGGAAACCTTGCTCCTTGTTGTGGGGGGAA